CCCCCTACTCCTCCCCTCCCCTTCCTCTGGATCCGGGGAGCAGAGGAGGCTCAGCTCGGTTTGATAAAAAGATGGATTCAGAGGCCCGCAGCGGAGAGTGGGCCTGCGCTGCTGCTGTGCGTCAAAGTGGATTCAGCTGAATTTAAAGGACTTAAAAAAAAAAAGAAATGAAAGAAAGAAAATTCATCACTTACAAAGAAGACGCGCGGGGAACATCTTTACTGGAAACTATAGCTTTTAATGTCTAACCCTGCTTTAAGTTTTCCTCTTTTTTTTTATTTCATTTCTTTCCGCCTCTTTAAAATGTTCTAACAGGAAGGAAAAAAGCTGCTTCTCAGAGGCACCAAACCTGCTTTAGTTTCTCAGCAACTTCAACCTTCTGCCTCCTCTGCAGCTTTTAGCTCGTTTTCCCCTTTTTTTTTAAAATTTTGCATTAAAAGCTAAAGCGAGAGAGGAAAACAAACGAACAGAAGTTGAATTTATCCATTTTGATTTTTATTGTGATACCCCTCCCCTCTTCTTTCTCCCTCTCTTTTTCTCACACCATACACACACGCAAATCTCATGAATATGAATGAGGTTTAATCCCCATTTAGAATTACATTTCAGGATGGTAAAGTTTAATAGGGAAAGACCTCTAACTTACTGCAGGAAAAAAAAAAAGAAAAAAATCAGCTTTAGAAGCTGAAGCATGTTTATGGTTTTAATGTGTTTTTTTATCCTGATAATTTGACCTTTGGGATGGGGAGAGTCGTCGGGCTGCAGTTTAAAAAAGAGAAAATAAAAAATATATTTCTTTTTTGGGTTTAAAAAAAATAAAAAAAACGACTTCTGTGGATGAAGCCAGCTGATGATCAGAACGAATAAAAGTGATATTTTTACGCGCGCGCAGGAGGAGGAGGAAGAGGAGGCAAAGCGGATGTAAAAGTTATTACTGAGAGGGGTTTTTGCAGGAAATGTGAGGGGGAAATAGAAAAATATTTCAGGTTGTGTGTGGAGGCCTGCAGAGATGCTGCCTGCAGTTTTCAGGCACCTGAACGCACCTTCTTGGCACATTTTACGCACAAAGAAAAAACAAAATTTACCTAAAAATCAAACGCGAGAGAAGCTGGAAAATGAGACAACTTGATGTTTTTTTTAAGTAAAATTACTTAAGAGGGTCAAACAATTATACACACCTTTTTTTATTTATTTAGATTTAATTTTATTCTGAAAAGTCCGAGCAGAGGGTCGACATATACCCAAATACCACCACCCCTCTTGGTTTACCAGCGCGCGCGCGCGCGCGCGCACACACACACACACACACACACACACACACACACACACACACACACACAC